AAAAAAAAAAAAAAAAAAAGAAAAAGAAATTTTCCACATGTTAATTCCAAAGTAACAGTGTACTTCATTTCTCATACAGAGATATATCTGAAGAGGTCTTTGAATGTAGAACATCCCTAGATAAGAAATAGATTTTGTTTTTTAATAACTACCATTTTCCATTTGAAAAGCATTCTAACAAACCATGCTGATTTTTAAAGTGCTACTGTTTCAAAACATCTTAATAGAAGCATCATTTATAATAATGGCAACTACACAAAATGGTCTTTCTGACCAAAGTAACCATAATAAAAGACATTTAAACAGATATAAAATTTTAATAGCTCCTAACAAAATTATTAATCAGAGAATTTAAAAACTAAGATCATTTTATATAGTATGACAACTAAAAAAATTTCTGACCATTCTTTAACTACAAAGATACTTTATAAATATTTATACCAAAGTTAACAAGCATTTCTATATAACACTGGAGACTCCTCAAATAAAGCAGAATCTAATCATAACATTTTTAGCAACCAAAAAAATCATTTTTAAAATTTACTTATTCAATTATAAAAAGTAAGTATTAAAGTTACCTGAGACCAAGGTAAAATGAAGACTTCAAGGAAAGGAATGCTGGAGAGTTGAAAAAGAAATCATGGTTGAGTTTCTACTGCTCATAAGCTTCAGAAACCTTTAATACCTTAATCACTTACACCATCCAATTCCTACAATAAAACATACACATACAACAAACAACAACATTATTTAAAAAGAAAAAAAGTACAAACACAGTATGTGCAAATCGATGAAAACCAAAGATCACTTTTTAAATACAGTTAAGCATGTGTGACCAATGCCCTAACTTGTTTTTTAAGTCAGAAAGTGGGAAAATGCAATAGTGGTAGGTAGTAAATGAGAAATACCCTTAGCTTTATAAAGAGTAATAACCCTTGATCTAGTGTCTACAGCTTTAGAGACATAGGTTATTGAAGAAAATGCAGAGAATACAAACCTAATGGCTCGGCGCCTGTGGCTCAAGCCGCTAAGGCGCCAGCCACATACACCTAAGGTGGCGGGTTCGAATCCCCAGCCCGGGCCCGCCAAACAACAA